AAGCAGAATTCAAATGATAAACTAGGGTCTGGGGATTTAGCTCAGCGGCAAAAGCGCCTGCCTGGCAAGCGCAAGGTCGTGAGTTCGGTTCCCGGTACCGGAGAAAAACCAAAAAAAAACAAATGCTGCTGAAGATATGGAGAAACTGCATTACTCGTACATTGTTGGTGGGACTGAAAAATGTTACAGCCACTCTGAGTAAGCAGTGCCTTACAAAACAAAAAAGCATTCACCACACTACTCAGCAACTGCACTCTTAAGCTCTTATTCCAGAGAAATGAAATATTATGACTATAAAAAAAACCTGCCCACAAATGTCCGCAGCAGCTTTTTAGTAACAGCCAAAGCAGAAATGATCTGAATGTCCTTCCAGAGGTGAATGATTAAATTGAGATATATAACCTACCTACCATGGAATACTACTTAGCTATAAAAAGGAACAAACTACTGACATATGAAACAACTTGTATAGATATCAAGAGAACTACACTGAGTGAAAAGAAAATATTAAAAACTTAAATACTAAATAATTCCATTTATGTAAAATTCTCAAAATAACAAAATTATAGAGATGGACTATTGTTGAATATGTATTTCTTGCAACAGCATGTGAATCTACAATTATCTCAAAATTGAAAGTTTTTTAAACTTCAAAGGTAAAGATAATATCCAATAAAGTCAAATATGTTGCCTTGTCTGGGCTGACAAATGTCCCAGGACACTGGTTCTCAGTCTCAGGTACACACTGGAATTACCTGTAAAAACCCCACTGCTTACACATCATATCAGACAAATTAAATTATAATCTCTCACCATGAAACTCAAGCATCTACACATTTTTTAAAAAGCTCTGGGGATTCCGATGTTCAATCAAGGAGAATCAATAGCCTCCAGAGCTGGAGAGTCTTTTTAAACAATAACCCTGAGCTAGGCACAGTGACACTCATTGTTCCTACCTACAGTACTCAGGAGGCTAAAACACATCGATTGCAGCTGGGCGTGGTGGCACAGGCCTATAATCCCAGCATCCCAGTGCTCTGGAGGCTGAGGCAGGAGGATCGTTGTTTGAGGCCAGCCTGGGCTACAAAGTGAGTTCAAGGTCAGCCTGAAGTACACAGCGAAACCCTGCCTCAAAAAGACAAAAAAAAAAAAAAAAAAAGAGGGTCCCTTGACACCAGGAGTTCAAGGTCAGCCTAAGCAACATAATAAGACCTCCACCCCCCAAAAAGGGAAAAATTCTTATTAATGTGCCAAAATTATTGACACTATTAGGCATCTGGCTATTAACAATTTGCTGAAATTCTAGCCACAAAAATAATATTTCACTGATAAACAGAACCTTCAACTCAAACCTCATCTACTTTCCATAAACAAAAAACTCAAAGAGTAGCCCATGAAAGACAACAGCTCAGAGCTGGGGATGTGGCTCAGTGTAGACCTCCTGCCTTAAATGCACAAGGCCGTGGGTTCAGTCCCCAGCACCACACTGAAAAAAAAAAAAAAACCCAGTTCATTATAGTACACAGTATTTTTAAATAATGTTCCCACTTGGCAATGCAGTTTAAGCCAGGAGTTGAATGACAGGTTCATTTTTATCCTTAACCCTTCTGTAAATACAAAAACACAGCTATTATTCTAGCTTTCAGAAATATTTCAAGAAAAAAAGGCTTCATATCCCCTCTAGGATTTAACCTAAAGTCAAAGAAAGCATTTAAAAAATAATTTTCACAGGTATCTTATTAACTTGTGAAAGTCACATGACTTTCATAAATTTATCTACACACAAACAATAAAAACAACCTACAGAGCGTGAAGCATTTAAAGTAGTGTTCTCTTCCTCCTGCACATGAACAACATCATCATCACAAAAACAAACTACTACTGTGAAACTAAATGTCATACAAGAACACTACACACACCCAAACAAATGGTCGCGCCACCCAATTCAACACATCCAGGAAGCAGTGCTAAGTAGTGGAACAGTATGGCCGCTGCAAGGATTTTGGCAAACTAATACAGAGGTGCTCACACTGCCTGGACTCTCGTAACTTGAACCTATAGGTTACTAAAGAAATTATAATAAGGTTACTATAAGGTTACTAAAGAAATTTTTAGTTTTTAAGTGGTTTGTAGGTTTTTTGTAGGAGGTCCACTTATGCTGTATAAATTACTGACTTAAAACAATTCTCAGCCCAGGAAAATTAAGTACAACAACAAAACTATAACATAGGGGCTGGGGATTTAGCTCAGCAGCACAGCACCTGCCTGGCAAGCATGAGGTCGTGAGTTCGATTCCTGATACTGGGAAAAAAAAAATACTATAACATAACAAAATCTGACAGTTTTATGTTGCTTAAAACATTAAAGTGATAAGGTCATTTTTAAATATGTGTAATCTTTTTACAAGTTCAGAAGAACCACAAATTATGGAGCTAAAAACCACCAGCTATTCAAAGAAAATTGTAGCTTATAAAATATTGGCCCACTGCCTGTACAAATGAATTTTTTCCTCTTCAAACAAGCTTTGTAAGCCACAATATTCTTTCTTTTTCTGGGGGGCGGGGGGGGTTCTCCAATACCGGGAACCGAACTCACGACCTTGCGCTTGCCAGGCAGGCGCTTTGCTGCTGAGCTAAATCCCCAGCCCCCACAATATTCTTTCAAAAGTGATATAACCATATTATTCAATCAAAGAGTACTGTTATTAGCCAATAAAGGTAAGTCAATTCTAGTCCTAAACAATCAGTAAAACCCTACAAACAAACTGCTCCTCACCAATACAGTAACATATCATCAGGAAAGAAAGTTCTAGCTTTAACATAATTTTATCAGGCAATTAAATGTCTCAATAATTTTTAAAAAATAAGCTTCAGAACCCAAACACCAATCAATACCTCTTACCTCTTTAAAAGGCCACTAAGGCTACTACACAACATCTTCCCAAAAAAGCTGTCCTTCAAAAACCAGTAAAATTTGCACTGCAATGCAATCCTACACTACTTCCTTCAACTTATTGACCAAATGGAAAGATAAAAGAGGACAGGTGGGAAAAAGAGGGAGAGGCTTTCAAATCCCAGGTGCACATCTTAGCTATTAAGTACTTTGGGCAACTAAACACTCCAGTTTTCTCATCTGCTAAGTACAAACCCCACAGGGTACAGTGGTGCACACCTGTGTCCCCAGCACTCTGGGAACTAAAGTAGGAGGGTTGGGAACTCTAGCACAGTCCGGGCAATTTAGTGAATTAACAAGACCCTGTCTCAAAATTTAAAAAAAAAAAAAAAAAATTAAGGCCGGGGATGTACTACTGGTAGCTCAGTGTGCAGGCCCGGGGTTCATCGCCAGTACCAAAAAGCAAAAAGGAACATTACTGCTCACCTCTTGGTGAAACTGTCCTCAGGGTTCTGAAGATGCCGTACACGGAAGGGAACAGCATGGTGCCTGACCACAGGGGTAAGGTCTTCAGTATATTTGGATTACTACCTTCAACAAACAAAAAGATCAGAACATCCAAAACACTGAGGTGAACATCGTGTGTAACTAGCACATCCAAGATAACTTTAGTTGAAAACCCTGTAACTACGTGAGAGCTGCCATATGATTGCCTTCCAATGGTAGGTAGGTACTTTATAATTTTTTTAAATCTTTTTAACAGTTCAATAAGGGAACAAGCAAGCACAAGGTGTACACAACATACCTTATGAAGCATCAAAATACTGCATTTCTAAAAGGGCATGGAGAGGTTTACTGTTTTTCCAGAAAGAAAACTGAGTATTTACTCTATTCTAGTAAGAAAAAAATTTAAAATAAATATTTTTCTAACATATATAAAAACCGACCACTTATATCTATGTGATCATGCTATAAGTTATTTTGTTTTCCAATATTACCAACTAGTAATAACATATGGTCTTTTTTAAAAATTGAGTAGTGCAGTTTTTTGTTTTGTTTTGTTTTTGTGTTTTTTTGAGACAGGGTTTCACTATGCAGGTCAGGCTGGCCTTCAACTTACTTTATAGCCCAAGCTGATCTCAAACTGTGATCCTGCTGCCTCAGCCTCCCAAATGCTGGGATTACAGGCATGTGCCACCATACCCAGCTTAACGTAGTGGTCTTACATCATAATGAATTAATATTTTTTAAAAAGGCCAAGTAACTTGTAAAAATACTAGAAACTACAAATCTGTACAAATAAGGTAACAATGTGAGAATAAAATTATAAACTATAACCTAATTCTGCAAGCCTAGAATAATTATTCTACCTGAATTCTCCAATCTAACCTGCTGGAATGACGATCTAAACGAGCACTGCACTTTCCCATGAAACAGAATGGCCTTCTTTTTCCTGTCACACCTGTGATAGTGAACACTACAGTAGTCATCTTTTCACAAAATTGTTTTCTCCCTCCAGTTACACTATGAACTGAAGAAGTCCTTTTCTATTAATTCATCTCTTTAGCAGTACCTGATACAATGATTCGTCTATAAAAAGCATAAAATACTCAGCAGTCAATTCACTGCATTTCATGATTAATCTGTTCTTTATTTCAAGGAATAAGAGGGTTTCTAGGACCAAGGCTTGTACAGCAACCCCTTCATAACAATTTCCAGAGTGTCTATTTATTAAAACTGTAGTCTACAAATTTCCCTTTAGTTTACCAATGTGTTAATGCAGTGGTTCTCCAAATGTGATCTAGGGACCCCTACAGGTCCTCAAAACCCTTTCAGTATTCCACTAAGCCAATACTAATTTTCACAGTAGTACTAAAGTGATGCGCCTTTTTTTACTCTCATTCGCTTGTGAATATAGTTTTCCAGATGCTACATAAAGGTGTGTGAACACGGTTACAATGTAATGTGTCATACTAGGAATATCAGCATAATTCAGTGAACCAATATTTTCCAAATGATCAAAGCAGGTTATAAAATTATGTATGAATAAAAGAGTAAATCACAGCACAAGGCAAACCAATGGATTGTAATGTAACAATACTAACGGGCACTGATCTGGTTTCAGATTCCATTAAGAAACTAACATTTTTCAGCCAGGCTGCTGGGCACACCTGTAATCCCAGCACTTGGGAGGCTGAGGCAGGAGGATTCTTGCAAAGCTACAGAGTGAGCTCAAGGTCAGCCTGAACTGCATAGTAAGACCCGTCTCAAAAAGACAGGAAAGACAGGAAAGACAGGAAAGACAGAAAGACAGAAAGACAGAAAGACAGAAAGAAAGAAAGAAAGAAAGAAAGAAAGAAAGAAAGAAAGAAAGAAAGAAAGAAAGAAACTAACAAACATTTTTCAACCTTTGGTGTAGTATTAAAGAAAAATATCTACAATTATCTGACAGGGATATTAAAATTCCACCCAGCCAGGCGTGGTGGCGCATGCCTGTGATCCCAGTACTCAGGAGGCTAAGGCAGGAGGATTGCTGAGTTCAAGGCCAGCCTGGGCTACAGAGTGGGTTCAAGGCCATCCTAAACTGCATAGCGAGACTCTGTCTCAAAAAGGAAAAAAAAAAAAAAAAAAATTCCACCTTTAGCCAACTACATACTATGATTTGTAAATACTATAAATTTTCTTCTACAACAGACTAAATACAAAAGCAGCTATCAGAAGTTAACTGTCTCGGGGCTGGGGATTTAGCTCAGTGGCACAGCGCCTGCCTGGCAAGTGCAAGGTCCTGAGTTTGATTCCCCGTACGGGGAAAAAAAAACCCCAAAAACCAAAAACAAAACAAAAAAAAGAAGTTCACTGTCTCATCATTTGTCTATTTGTTTTCCTGAGAAACTATCTTGAAGATACCAATAGGTAAAATAACAATCATTGATAATTTCCCACCACTTTGTCTGTAATTCAGTCAAGCCCCCTATTACTGTTATCCTTCTTTTACTCTTTGAAATAAAAAAAAAGAAGTTAACTGTCTCCTATGAAGCTAGACATTAATGAGATTTGAAAAAAATGTAAAGCAATGCTTCTTTTCTCATGGAAATTTTTTTCATCTTAGAAAATAATTTTTTGCCGGGCATGGTGGCACAGGCCTGTAAGCCCAGTACTCAGGAGGCTGAGGCAGGAGGATCACTGTGACTTCGAGGCCCACCTGCGCTACAAAGTCAGTTCAAGGCCAGCCTGAGCTACATAGTGAAATCCTGTCTCAAAAAGGCAAAAAAAAGAAAAAAAAAAAAAAGAAAAGAAAATAATGTTTTTCAGTAAGAACTGCCAGGTCTGGTGGCACACAGCTGTAAGCCCAGCACTCGGGAGACTGAGGCAGGAGGATCCCTGCAAGTTTGAGGTCAGCATAGGCTACATACTGAGTTCAAGGCCAATATGAATTACACAGTGAAATCCTATCCCCACTCCCCCCAAAAAGAAATATTAATGTATAGTTTGTTAATATACAGTGGGCTATCAATGGCATTTCAAAATAAATATTTAATTTTTATCTGATATAATTTCTACTACTGTAAATGTCAATAGGTCTAACTTAGATCTTTGGAATTATCAATGACTTTTAGAGGGTAAAACAAGGTCCTGAGTTTAAGAAAGTTTTGAGAACTGCTGGCCTAACTAACTATAGATGAATTCTGGTGTGCGCTATACTAGCTTCCCTGTCCATTTCGCTTGGGAAATGCAAACATTTCCATGGAAGAACCATATCAATGCTGTAACTTAGAGTAGCCCTAGATTCCTGACAAATGTTTTATACTCATTTTGCAGTGAGCAGTGTCCTCTTCCAATGAACTGACAATTTAGATTTTCAGTAAAGGACTTTGGCAAAAAACATCAACCAATCTCATTGATTCCCATTTCATAAAGAATAATCACTTGGCCATATGACCTGCTTTAAGTAATCAAGAAAAACAGTACAACAGAACAGACAGCACTTAGTGAGCTCAGAGCAAATGCCAGGCCCTGTACAGTACTTAACATTATCTCATAATCCTCACAACCCCACAAACAAAGTAACACAGAGCAGGAAACTGATTCAGATTTACTTGCCAAAGGTCATCCACTTAATAACCCACAGAATCAAGGCTCAAAAGTAGGCCTGTGTGGCTCCAAAGTCCAGTGCTCTCCCCAGCATCCAGTTTCCCCGTAGCACTAGACTGGAAATTAGTCCGGTCAACTCACCTCTGTCCTTGAGCAAGCCACAACTTCTCTGTCAGCTTGCTCATCTACTAGATAAGAGGGTTAGTGTAGCTGATCTCCAAAGTCCCCTCCATAGCAAATTTTCTTAGATTATGATTCATCATAACCTCAACCCTACAGTTACAGAGCATTTAGGCTTTTGCATGTTTTTTTAATTGAACAATAGATATGATACAACTAATAGGGAAGTAATGGGTAAAATAGGCCAGGATATACCTTTTTTATGCTTTAATATTATTAGTCACCATAATATACTGGAGGCACTGAAAAGGTTGTGTATTTCTTTCATTTCAGACAACCAAAGCTTCCTTCTTTAACATAAGCTTAGACATCCTGATGGCTGGCAACTCCAAGTGTGCTAAGTATGCGGTATGCTACACAGGAACACTAACTGAAACACTGCATTAAGAAAGCAAATGCCGGGAGCTGGGGATTTAGCTCAGCGGCAAAGCGCCTGCCTGGCAAGCGCAAGGTCATGAGTTCGGTTCCCGGTACCGGAGAAAAACCAAAAAAAAAAAAAAAAGAAAAAAAAAAAAAAAAAAAGAAAACAAATGCCTCATCGTGAGCTTGCACATCTGTTCTTTGAAGTAAACTTACAATTATCAATTGTAGACACTGTAAGCATTTTTGAGAAAAGGGAGGCAAGCTGCAGGAAATAGTGAAAATTGACACAAAGCACTTTCACACTCACAAACACATACACACAAATATAGATTCCAGGACAGCATACCAGTTGAAGTTATATTGATTTGTATTATGTTGATACCACCCAGGCAACCAAAACTTCAGCTAGTATCTATAATAGCTACAATATGAACATAACCATGTACCAGATACAGAGCTAAGCAACTACACCTTTAAGCCTATTCTGCAGAGTTGCAAGGTATCATACTCATTTTAAAAGATGAAAGAAGCCTGGGTTGTAGCTCAGTGGTAGAGTACTCACCAAGCACGTGCAAGGCCCTAGGTTCAATTCCTAGCAAGAGAGGGAAGGACAGAGAGAAAGGAAGAAGGTACGTTAGTCACACAGATAGCAAGTGTCAGACAAAAGATTTGGAAACAAATCTGACCAACTCCAAAGCCTGTACTCTTCACACTTTTTTCTGGCTCCAGACACAATGAAACTTCATTCATGGGTCAGATCAGTAAAGTGAAGTGTAATATCTGAACCCCTGCACAACACTTTAAATTTATTTACGAATTTTTTTTCTTTTTTCCGGTACTAGGAATCAAACTTAGGACCTCGTGCTTGCCAGGCAGGCACTTGTGCCACTGAGCTATATCCCAGGCCCCATTTTAAATTTTTTAAA